TACTTATTTAAAGAGTATGTATTTTTTATGTAAATGTAGTTTTGTGTATCTGTTTTTTATCGATTTAATTTGTAAAGAAAGACTCAATAAAGTTATTAATAATCATTAAAGTTAATAAAATTAATTATGTAGCAAACATGTAAGAAGTTTCTGGTTACTAAACACAAACTATGCATACAAAGTAACTCGCGGATGAACAAGCACCGCGCCTGACGTCACGGCAGAACATAAATATATATAACAAGTTATTAGATATAAAGAAAAGTTTCTAGATATTGGTTCACTAAATCTAATTATTTTCGCTTAAGTTGCCATTCTTATAAAACTCGTTAAAATTAAAAAGCCCACTCACTAAAACATCATCAGCGATATTATGAAGCAGTTTCGCTTCCTCGTCATAAAAGTATTTTTAACTTTTTTAGTTGATTTATATCTATTAAATTTAATTTCTATAGTAATTCAATGATTTAATTATTTCATTTGTTTATCTTACTAAGAAGAATTGTTATAAATATGATAAACTTTTTAAACTACGCGAAACATAAAATAGGTATTAAACAAATTAACTTTTTTATTTATAAAATAATTTAGCTTAGATAAAACTAAAACTTGCAAACTTTGATAAATAAAAAACATTTTTAAACAAACGTAAGATGTTACTTTATATAAAAAACGTCGCCTAATTTTATAAAAAATTATAGAGGAGCGATGTTTCGAAAATATTTGTTCTAAACGGAATTTATTTTGCTTTAAGTTTTTTTGCATTAAAAGATATTTTATTTTCTTAATTTTTTTTTTTTTTTTTTTTTTTTTTGTCATTGTTTCTCATCGGTCCAATTAATCTTAGGCGCATTTTTTTTTTGCATTTTAAAATGTTCTCAAAACGACTAAAAAATCTGGCCAGCTTTTCGCAACTAAATATTATTTCCGTGGTCAGCAATCGAGAGCGATCGCTACCGCTTCCTGACCAAGCCTGTTGGAGCTAACTTTATGTTCCAACAAGATAGTGCCACATGCCATACAAGCAAAAAGACCATTAGTGCTATCGATGAGATTGGATTATCGGTTATTGCACCAAACATTTCGCCTCCGAATTCCCCAGACTATTTGGTTATTTTTTCTGGAACGAAGTGAAAAATCGTTTGATAAGCAAAAAGTATCAGAACAGGAAAGAATCGGTTGAAAAAATCAAGGAAACAATTCAAGAAATACCGATAAAAATGATCCAAGATTCGATCGATAATTTTCACTCTCGAGTTTATGCTGTTGAGAAGAATGAAGGAAGACTGATTTTAAATAAATATAGTTAAACTTTGAGAACAACAGTTTATCTTTTTTTTTAGCGTTTTTACTTTTAAAACGTCTTTATATTTTTCCTTTAAAAACTTTTAAAAAACTTGTCTCATTTTTTATCCCGCACCTGTTGGTCAGATCACCAAGTCCAGAAATTGTCAAAAACAATATTATGATCGAAATGTATCTGAACTCCCAAATCTCGTTGCAAATAACATTGTCCGGATGAGAAACGATGGAACATGGAAGAAAGTGACAGTTAAAGAAAAACTAACATTACCCAGATCATACAACGTAGTGGTTAAGTACGGAAGATTATATTGACACAATCGTAAACATCTGTTTAAAACCAATGAGCAACCGTTAGTATATCAGCATGAACAACTTGATTTACCATACAAATCACTAGCAGTTATCGCACCTCCTACATCAAAAGCGGAAACATTAAACAATGAAATTGAGGAAGCTACAATTATTCCTGAAACTTATGCCCATAACAGTACATTGAGTAAGCTCTGTATTCTCCAGAGAACAGTGACAGTGAAGGACTGGAAAATAGTGAGTTGTCTAAATGTTTGAATATTTTTATATTGTCCAGCAAAATAATTTTAAACTTGATTCATGACAAACGAATTAAATTTATCTAAAATAAGTTTAACTGTAATGACTGCAAGCCTACAATAACTGCAAGCCTACAATAACTGCAAGCCTGCAATAACTGTAAGCTTACAATAACTGCAAGCTTACAATAACTGCAAACCTACAATAACTGCAAGCCTACAATAACTGCAAGCTTACAACAACTGCAAGCCTACAATAACTGCAAGCCTAAAATAACTGCAAGCCTACTATAACTGCAAACCTACAACAGTAGTCTCTGTAATCCACTGTATATGTGTATATGTTTGTTTAAGGTATGTTTTTCTGGTGAATCGGCACTGAAAATATTGAACGACCATTGCTGCTATGTAAGAAGAAGAGCTGGAGAAGAGTTTCTTCCACAGTGTCTGATGCAGAAAATCAAACATCCGACTAAAGTCATGATTTGTAGCGTGATATATTTCAAAGGATCTAAACGTCTATACATTGTAGATGGCATGATGAATGCTAAACAGTGAAAGAAAGTGATGAAAACTCATCTTGTTCCTCAACTAGATGACTGGTTCTCTCTTGGGAACTGCATTTACATGCAGTATGGGGCACCTTGCCATACGGCAAACATTATGTTGGAATAGTTTGATGACATTGACATTGAGTTGTTGTCCTGGTCGTGATAAAAATCCATTTGAAGAGATATTTTACCATCTAAACGACAGAGTAAACAATATCACTACCACTAACAAGCGTGACCTAATCAAACGCATTGTCCATGTATGGTTTCAATATCCAGATATCACACAGCTAATTTCCAAGTACTATGCAAGTATGCCAAATAGAATTGCAATGCTTGATGCAACCAAATACTAGAAACATATGCCAACTGTAAGTACAAAGGGTGGTGCAATCAAATACTGAAAATATATGCATAACTTTGAATCGTACACAGTACAAATATGTTTGCTAAATTTATACTTGTGATGCATTGAACATGAGAAGTAAAAACTAGTATTTAGTGTAAAAAAAACAAGTTTTTTTGTCAATTCGTCAGCCGAAAACCAAGTCAGGCCTTGCGATAAAGCGTCGGGCGATGTGAATTTTACGTCGTCCAAGAGCGATTTTGCGTGTAGCTAGGGCTATTTGCGTCGAGCAAAATATTTTTTGTTTGAGTATATTTAAAAATATTTTTGAGCGGAATTTTAATGAAGTAATTTTACGATTATTTTAACATTTAATAAAGTATTTTAAAATGATATATAAGTTTGAATTACAAAAAAATTAAATATGCTCATTATTTACAAGTAGAAAAAATTCAGATTAAAAAAAAAGTTTAAATCTTTTTAAGCTAACATTTTAATTAAATTATTCAGCAATAGCAAAGTTGTCGATAAAATTGAACAAAAATACTTTTTTTTAGTTTTAGATTTTTAACTTAAACAATTTTTTTACGGGGGTTTGTTAGGTTTTAAAATTATTACATAGATTTAAGAATATTTATTAACTGTTTGACGTATTTAAAGTATTTAAGAGGAAACATTTTAAAAATTGGTAAGCGCAAATAAAAAAAATAAAAGGAATAATATTAAAACGTATTCTACTTGATTCAATAAAAAAGTACAGCTATTAAAATTTTTGTAAAAAGTAACTCGAAAAAAATTACTTAAATAATAACAATCGCTTTTTTGTTAAAAGTTACCGAAACTCAACGAAGCGTGCTCAAGAACAGCTGCCGAAAAATAGAACGTCAATAGCTTTTCGAATAATTTTTAATAATAATTTTTAAGAATATTTTTTTCGCTGAAATATGTCTTTTATACGTATAAGATTTTTATTCTAACATTTTATTTTATTTTACCAAAAAAATAATTCCTTGTAAACATTAAAAATCTATTCTAAACGTTCGTTAAAGTTTTTTAGCAATACGATTGATTGTGCTTATCAACCGCTTTATGAAAATAAATAAAAAAATATTTATAAAATCGCTAGTAAAAATATTAGCTATTGCACAGTTTTTAGTCGTACAATATTAAAATTTCCAGTTTATTACTCGCTGACTTTTTTTAAAAAAAAAAAAAATTATTTGAAAAACTTTAAATTATATATTTGAGAAAAAAAAATCAAATATTAGCATATTTTATAATCTTTTTAAAATGTTTAGTTACAATGTTTTTTATTCGTTTAGTATAGACAAAACGTGTCAAACGTCGAGAAAATAAACAAATGTTTTTACTATTTAAAAAACGAAACATTCCAAAACATTTTTAAATAATAACATTAATGGTTTAAAGTAGTTTTGCGGTAATTAAGTAAATTGGTGACGATAAATATGAAAAGCATTTAAAAAGAATTTAATGACGTCAAAAATCACATCGTGCTTATGCGTCGCGCAGGTTTTATTCATCACAAGGCCTGCCAAGTATATCCTTTTTTTGTGTTTTCGAGATAATCAAGCTTTAAAATTTAATTTGTAAAGATTTATGTTAAAAATTGGACTAATTTTTTAAATATTTTTAAAACTTGAATCATTCTTGAGACTAGATTTATTGAACACATTCCCATTGTTGAATAATTATTGATAATAAACAAAAAACAAAAAAAAATGTGGACTTACGGCCTCTTGGATCTCGACTGACGAGTTAGCGTAATAATTTGGCCAGTAAAAGTAATAATAAATAATGTTTCCTTGTACTACGTTTCAAAATTTATCTGCATTTTACTAGTATTTAAAATAACTTTGATGCATTGCATTTTTTTTTAAATCCTGGTCACAAAAATATGGAAAACATATTCCAAAAATCTTCTTTTTTTTATGGTTAATGACTAAAAAATATTTATTCTAAAATATATATTTAAATTTGTATTTATGGAAAACTTTTTTGAATTCCGAAAAAACAAAATGTTGTAAGAAAACTACGGAATTCCGTATATAGACAGAAAAAGATTCCGTATATAAAATACCTGTTTGACAAACTCAGTGAGTGTCATTAACACATTTATTATTGACATTTTTAAAAAACTAAAAAAAAAACCTCCCCTACCCTCCCCCACCTTCTTCCGTAGATCGGTCTCACTGAAAACCTTATCAAATAAAAGTTGTCAAAATAACTTACATTCTATTGTCATTTTCCGATCTTTACTTCTGATAAAAAATAGATAAACAGAAAATAATAATAAGTAATATTAAATATATTTTTAATTATATAAATTTATATATTTATATACTAAATAAGTTGTTTATTATACCATCATGTAAAATAACTTTAAAATTAAAAAAAATTTAATTTATATTAATTAAAAAAAGTTAACTTATAGTAAAAACGTACCTTTTACTTAGGCTACATATAAAATAAAAAGCAACAATAAGAAGGAATAGCATTACACCGCATCCTAAAACTACAAATGTTACTACATTTTTATTTAACATTGATTTGTTATTTGTCTGTGTGGTGTTTTTTATTTCGTTTTCTTTAATGGCTTTTTTGTTTTCTACAAAACTTGGTTGTCTAGTGTAGTGGCCCAAAGAAGTTGGTTGCTTTGCAGAGTAATCTAGTGATAAAAAAGAAGCCTGAAAAATAAAAATAAAGTTAAAGGTTTTTTTAAAAACCTGTACTGTTGTAAGCACTCATTGGTGAGGTTATTTTTTTTATATTTTTTACCAATATCGTTTAATAATAACTTGAAATAGCAATAGATAATAGTCAGTTTAATAATCAGAAATTATACCTACGTTAAGAAAGTTTGTTCCCTTTTCTATTCTTTGAATAAAATATTCGTTTCCTAAAATAAACATTACGAGAATCTTCATGTGATGAAATCATGAGCGGTTTCAAATACATTTAAAAACTTATTTTTATTATAGTTGTATAATTTTTTAAATAATAATATCAGAAATAGGTTTTTCTTTTTCTCTTTTAGTTCAATTTTTTTTTAATTTTTTACAGTAACATAAAATATGATGAAATGAGTGAAAAACTTTCTAGATTATGTAATGATGATATAGAACTTATCACTAAGCACAAAGTTATCACGGTTTTTTTTTTCACTTTAAATATCACCAAGTAATAATTAAATAATATAACTTTAGTAGTGACGTTATACAAAGTAAATGACGTAATACAGGGTAAATGACGTTATACAGGGTAAATGGGTGAATTTTCGGTCACAATTTACATACACATTTACTTAAATTTTATTTAGACAAATTTTTAGGAAATATCATTAGAATATCTATCATCCTTAATTACTTCTGTCAATAATTGATAAAATAATGATCTACAATACTACTTTCTTTTTAATTTCCCTTCGATTGCTATAAAAAGAACAACATTTCTCTCTTTTAAGATGCTAATACTAATCTTATCTCCTGCAAACTGATATAAAAATAAAAAAACATTACTATCAACAAAATGCCAAACAACAACTAAAGCAAAGAAGATGTTAAAAATGCCTTGAAACTTTATCAAGAGCAAAGAATATCATTAAAAAAGTGTGCATACAAGTTCAATATACCATATTCGACATTGAATGACAAAAATAAAACCAAAAACGCCGATCAACGTGGAAACAGAAGTCTAACAGCTTTATCAATTAAAACTGAAAAGTTATTGATTCATTTTACTCAATCGGGATTATGGTTTGACGCAAGCTGATATAGTTTCTATTGTTCATCACTATTTGAAAAACACAAAAAAATGGCAAACATTATAGTGGTTTTATTATAGTGGTGGTATGGTTTTAAAGAAAGAGGAAAAAATGATAGCATTACGCAGAGCGGACAACATTGCATTAAACAGAGCGTTATATTGCACTTCTAATATAATTGAAAAATATTTTAAAAATTACAAAAAACAATATGATGAAGCTAAAATTTATAGTTTAAAAGGCTAACATTTTTCTGCGATGAGTGTGCTTTTAGTGATGACCATGGAAAAAATTCAGTTTTATTTTGAAAAGGTACAAAGTGCGCTTTCAAACTTACAGAAAACAAAGAAAAAATTAGTTATACCGTATACAACTGCGCCAATGCATCAGACTTCTACTTACATTCTTTCGTCGTTTAAAAACCAAAAATATACATATATCAATCATTATGCAAAAATGGTCCAATCGGCGCAGTGTATATAAGATCAGATTCTGGAGGGATGGTAAAATCGCAATTTATTGACTGGTTGGAACGGCTATTTATACCTAAAGTTAAAGCAATTGGTGGAGAGCACATTCTTGTATAAGATGGTCACAGCACTCATATGTCATTAAAAGTTATTGAAATATGTAAAGAAAACAACGTCTGGTTGGTCTGCCGACTAGCTCAGTCAAGTCATATTTTGCAGCCACTGGACGTTGGAACATATTGTTACATTAAACTTGCAAAAAAAACAGGGTAATTTTTTTTTAATAAATCTAATATTGACCTATCAAAGTTAAAAATATCAGAGTTGTTTGAACATCCAGCACAAGAGCTAGCATCACAATCAGTACTGCGTATGGTACTCTTTACCATATCAATCAGTACTGACTTAATTATCAACTCTACAGTTTTTTCTATTTTAGCTTAAGTTAAAAAGAGCTCACAGTAAAAGCAATAACAACATCAATATTTAGTCAGTTCCAACAAAAAATGTTCTGTTTGTTAAAATGTAATGTCTAGGAATAAATTTAGTCATTTCACAACTATATTTTATTGATGACTTTTTTCTGGTTGATAACTTCTTGGCAATACTTTCATGGGTAAATTTAATTTTTCATTTTCATTGGTTATCTTGGGCATTTGTATTAAACCGCTCTGAATCCATCAGTTGTGAAACACAACTATTCTAATCAGGGGCGGATCCAGCATTTTTTGGTCTTTAAGATTTCCAGACATTCCAGACATTGAGCTCCAAAAATTTTTATGTTTATACTTATGTTGAATAAGAATACTTTGCAAAAAATTGCGGTTTTTGGAACCTGGGAACAAAAAAGCCCAAAAAATTTTTGTCCTTCTGCCCTAAACGTGAGAGCAACAAACTGATGAAATATTTTATGTACTATTTTCAATTAGGTTTATATTCATTGATAAATTTTAAGTTTCTTAGTATAGTTTCTCAGAGTTCAAAAATTATGGCCATAGAAAAATTGCAACCTCTTCAAATTGAAGGGGGGTTTAAAATTTATATGGTCATAATTTTTGAACGCTAAAATATTTTACCATGAAATTTAAAATTTGTCGATAAATATAAGTCTAGTTCAAAACAGTACATAAAATTTGACATTGGTATAAACATATAAATGTTTGGAGTTTTCCCTATGGTTGGAAGTTAGCTATCTCAAAGACCAAAAAATCCGCCCCTGATTCTAATCTTTTCTCATTAATTTAGCTTTTTAGTGGCAGTATTAATTTAGTAGGACGATACTAAGCTTTAGGTACTTAAAATTATACCTTGTATGAAATAAAGTTTTAAAGGTTATTTTTGCCAAAGCTAAGCACTCCTCATAGTTTTAACTCTCTTTAAACTCCTCATAATTTTAACCACTCATAACTTTAACAGCTATTGATTGGACCAGTTGACAGCTTTCTTCAGTTCATTTTGCAAAATGTTATTACTTATTACAAAATCAACTTGTGATAATACTTTTCTAAGAATTAACTACTTGATAATACTTCATCATCGGCATACAACTTTAAAATATTTAAAAAGTATCAGGCAAATCATTAACGTAAATAATAATTAATAAAGAGCCATTAATAGAGCTCTGCGGCTCACCGCTAATTGTATCCTTCCGAGAAACATTTTCTTTCATAACAACTCTTTTGCTTCCATTCTTAAAAAAACGCTTTATTCTATTTTAACAATTAAACAGACATCCCATATCATTTAGGTTTTATAGATAAAAATAGTTTCTCTTAAAAAATAACTTCTTTTAACATTTGTTTGAAGGAACTATTACTCATGTTAATATAAAAAAATGATATTTGGCATAACAATTATATTCGATATTTACGGACCAGAACAAAATCGATAAAAGATTTAAGTTTTTTTAGTTGGTAAATATTTCAAAACGTTTTTTTATTGAAGAAATACCTAAAAACTGCGTTTTTCGTCAAAACTTTTTTTTAATTTAGTTCGCGTATATTAGATATAATAAAGGAATAATATAATTGTGTAAACTGTTGTTTGTTTAGTATGACTCCAGTTCTCAATATAATACCAGTAAACTTTGCAACTTTTAAAAACTATCAACTTCTCCAAGACTTTATAACACTATTTTTTTCAATAATTGTAACGTCGATAAAAGGATCAGACATCAGAGTTTACAGTTTTTGTTTCTTTGAGCGTGAATGGAAAAGTGTCCATTAAGTTTTATCAATGTTTAGAAATAATTTATTTTGAACCAATCTGAAACTTTTCTTAAGTTTGCTTGTCTTGTTTTTAAAAAAACACATTTATATTTTCATGAGATAAAAACAAGTTGGTATCATCTACAAAAGTTATGGTCAACGCTAACTTCATCACCGTCGTTTTCAAAATTAGGATCTCAAATCTGAGCTATGATTTCAGCATCAGCAGAATGTGAATCGGTGCACCAATTTGATATAAACCCTGACCGATTTGACGTAGCATGAGTAACCATGGTTACTACATTGCAATCTAAACCAATGTATGATTCTACTTAGAGATCTGGACGATAGTTATTTAGATGACACTAAGATCTAACTTTCGTAACCGGTCAAGTTGTTCTGTCAAAGATTTTTAAAAAATGGTCATCATTAGCTTTTGCAATATATTTGTTTCTTTTGCTGATACCAGCTTTTTAAAGAAATTGATAACAGTCTTCTTTGACACAGGATTCCAAAAAAAAGTAAGGTTTATCTTTGCTTGAAGAAAAGAAATATTCAGTAGGGATTCGGTATTACTGACAGTCTTGATATACAAACGCACAATTTTGTGATGATGGTGAGCCTTTAGACTTCGTATTACGCTTTGACACATGGGCTAAAGGACAGATGTGGTGTTAGGGGAAAGAAATATCAGACTGATGTTGCTTAGCTCATTAATATGTGGATGGACAGAAAAGTTATCCACAAGGGTTACTACTTTCCTGTCTTGAGTACGAGTCATGCTGTTTTACCCATTCTGTAAAAAGGTCTAAGGTCATCCAACTTTTTAGCTAACTCTTAAATTTGCAAGGAAGTTGTTTGATGTGTTTAAAGCATTTTGAGATTTTAACTTTTCTAATAACAAACTGATGTCAAATTATTTCTGTTGCACTTCCTGCTCTCAGGTGAATAAAATTCAAACGTGTGAATAAAAATCAATTATTCTGCCTGTTAAATCTGACTTTACTATTTTTCTCCTGAAACAATTTTCTCGTGGTATATGGTACGTTTTGTTTTGTAGGAGCTCGTAAAGAATTCCAAACTTATCGGCATTGAAATTATTTTCAAGTTTGTTAGTCAAAAGCAATATTGGAAGTGTAGTTTTATTCCATGAAACAGTCATATTATTTGTCACGGAGGCACTTTCGCCTAAGACTATTTTAAAGCTAATGTCGTTTCTAAAAAAAATAGGGACAGAATAAATGAATTTTATTCACACATTTGAAACATTCAATGCTGGTACATGTGTCTCTGTTTATATTTAAATTTTTTAGGACATCGGTAAATCAAGGTAGGTGTTAGTTGTTCATTTTTCTGATTTTTTTTTCCTTAAGTATTACTTCCATTTATTTTTTACTTTTATTATGCTAGACATATTTTTTTTTTAATAAAACAAGTAATTTAAACATCGCTAAATCTG